GATCAGTCGTGACTAAAGCAGAGCTCAGTCTGAAAACTAAGCTCTCAATGTTCAAGTCGATGTTTATCCCCATGCTTACCTACGGGCATGAGCAGTGGATCATGACTGAGAAGCTTCGATTCCGGGTCAAGCTGCTGAAATGGGCTTTCTTAGATGAGTCACAGACCGGACGTGTCTCGACATGGTCCGGAATACTGACATCCGGAAGAGCCTTGGTATACAGGCTTTGCTTCTCCAGACTGAGAAGTCACAGCTGCGATGATTTGGGCACGTCTTACGCCTGATTCCAAGAAACCCCAAAACAACTTTTACCAGCCCATCCCGAAGATAATCGAGGATTGTGTCGAGCAGGTGTCCCTACAGATTTGTTCCATACTTGGGTTGTCTTCTGCCAATGTTCAAACGCTGTCGCACGAACGGGGAACGTTGAGGACACTGTCACCAAGTCCGCCTCCGCGACCTGAAAGGATGAGCAATCATCGAAACTGGACTGACTGAGGATCATCTTAAATTCCTTCAATAGATTTGAAATTGTTGATTAGCTACATATTTAAAAATGGGCTGAGCGAGAAATAATAAAACTGGAGCTCATCCTGCTGTTTATGGCAATCTCGATCCACGTGTTGGTCCATAAATTTAAAAAATCGTTTAAAACAGTTTATTTGAAAAACGGTGTCATCCTTTCGGCCGCCACCAATAAAGAAGTATGAACACTGAATTTAAATGAATAAGTACAAGTATAAGTACAAGTACGACAGAGCATTTTAAATGGATATAACCGTTCAAAAGTAATCTTTCACAGTCAGGAACTGTGTGACCGTAAATTGTCAATCTTAAGTTCATCGTCTGATCTTAGCGTCTGCTACTGCTTCCAGAACTTCAGGAGAGCAATCAGACTGGCAAAATCTATCCAGTCGGTCAGACATGGTTTGCACGAACATGACGGATAATACCAACGCCCTTATAATGTCTTCTTTTGTTTGGAAATTCACCTTCTGACGACACCCAGTGCTGATCAGCTTGTCGTATGGCAGCTGAGTTTTGAAACAGTGCCAAAACGATTTCTGAATGCCGGTGAGGTACACGTCGAGACTGGAAAGCAAACACTTTAATACTGATACACATAAACACTTGATATTTTCCGCAGTAAATAAAATGCGCAAATACGCTACCTTTTTAGAGTGTCCTGAAGATCCGTTTCGGAAGATGCCAACAAAACAAGGTCTTCTACAAACAGCAACCTTCTCGATTTCACATCTCCTACCCCGATACCCTCATCGCCTTGGCAGTTCCAGACTATTCTATCCATGTACAACACAAACAGGATAGGGGACAGGACGGAGCCTTGGCGGAGACCCATGCGAACGTTGAATGGTTTCGACTTAATGCCATTAACTCAGTACTCAGACGCAGTACCTGCTATTAGAATACAGTGATTGAACGGCACTGTAGCAAGTGACCATCGATTCCATATGTTTGTAAGCAAGCCCACAGACTGTTACTGTGGATCAGGTCATGGACTGTCTCCAAGTCAACAAAGCACATTTTCTTCAACATAGTTAATTCCAAGCAGATGAATTAGACTCTTACGATTTCTGAAGATCTGAGTTGCAATGATTGGGTCTATCCTGAAGCGAGGGTGTTCTTTTCCTCTTTCGGTCAACTATCCGTGGCACCCCTTTCCATTAGGTTTGCACAGATTTCCTCCGGAAAGCACAGTAGATTAAAGCTGATATAATTGGAACACTCCGTGTTGTCTCCGGTCTTAAACAGTTTCACTGACAAATGTTCGCCACAGCATGCCTTGTTCTCCTAACGCTTGAACATCGCTGGGCGGATTTCATGGATTCTGGTGGCTTTGCAAATTTTAAATATAGCTTCTGTGACTT